CCATCTGGCCACATATTCGTACATAGAAATTATTTCATTTTTAATGCAGTTTGGTTCATTGGTTTGTGCATGTCAATATTACATTAATTTAAAAACCACGTAAAAATATAATCGTCAATAGATTTTGCCAATAACACAAAACATTTACGAGTTATTTGAAACAGCTATATTTGCCCTCTGGCTGCAATAACCCCGGGTGACTTAACTATATATATTTATACTTACCTATGGAATAAAAATATTGCGTCAATTAATTTTAAAGTATATTGCGAATTTATAACTTTTAGTTTTTTTGCACGAATTAAAAGTTGATCACTTTTAGTTACTAGTTCTGTGAAATAACAGAAAAAGAATTACTTCTTCAGTGCTTTGATCATACAATCAGCTCAGCCGGTGTTCGATGCAATGTAATCAAATATTATATTTGTATTTTGCCTAAGCCAGCGTTAATTAGGTTAATACGCGCGTTAATTTATTAAGCGCATTTTTGGTACCTAATGAGTCGGGTGCATTCTTTAAACAATAATATATTAACATACGCGTGAAAAACTCTTATCATTTACCATTAATTTTAGTGTAATTTATAAAGAACAAGATTGTGGACATTATAATAAACTATTTTAGTATATTTGAACTTCCTCTTTTACTGAACCGTTTAATGGGCAAAGTAGATTTTTATTAAAGTTGTATGTTTTTTTATTGTTATATGTTTAAGATACTATTATGCTCCATGTCGGTGAAAAAAAAATACAAAAAAATATATCATTACCATGTTTCAAAAAAACATATGTTGAATGTACTCAACATTACCCAACTTTCAAGAATGATTATGTAAATAGAAACGTTGAGTATAAATTAACGTTGCCCGTGCATGAGAAAACTGAATATTTTATTAAAATGAGACAATTAAATTTAATAAGGCGTTTATTTGTCATCAGGGCATTTGAAAAAAAACATTTCATATTATGACTAAGTATAATTTCATTGAGCACTTAATGTAATTAACATTTGTGATTTTTTCTTACAAAATTTTCATCTACAATATGATAGGAATGCTAGAAATGGAATTAAATACAGTATTTATCATCAGTTACATGATTTATAAGTATTGTACAAGCTCTAAAATAAATCTTGTTACTGAAGAATGCTTCGTAACCAATTATTAGCGTAAAATAAAAGATAGATGTTTTTAAACTAAGTCCAAACAATTATTTTTGTTAGTATAATAATTGATCCAATAATAGAGAAAACTGAGACCAGTCCATAGAGAGTCGTATCTATAGTCGGCACTATTATATGAAGTGTTAAAATATAATCACTGATGCCATAAATTTTCTACTGTTGATGGCAATCTATTGCAACGATATGTTTTTGTTGTAATATCATAGATAAAATATTTATTTATCCGGAAAAAACATATGTATCAGACGTTGAGTACTTTCAACGTTGCGAATTAAAGAATCGAAGTATTAAATATTGAACAGTCGGCGATATTCAATCCATTCGCTATATATGTTGCAACAGAACAAAGTAGTAACAAACAGTAGTTTTTAAGCATTCTATATTTTTCTATAGCGTGACGGAAATGGTGCTAACATGAAACATGGAACAAACTTAAATTTCATCAAACCCACTGTTGCTAACAAATAAACAAATTTAACAAAATGTTTCAAAAAGATATATTGAAAATATAACTAGAAAAAATTCCACGCGGACCAGGCAGCAGACGGGACTCGAACCCGTACCCTTCGCAATCCGGGCGAATGCACTGACCAATTATGCTACCGCGGCCCTCACGGACCGCGTCGAAATTCTTTCTAGCTATTCTTAAGCTGCAAGGCAGCGCCATCTCTTCGCATTATAGGTAAACCCACAATGTCAAATGAATACTTTTACAAGTATTAAACATTTGAAAGAAGAAATAGCAATTATAGTTATAATTTTTATTATTTTTAAAGCATGTAACTGCTTGATGTTTAAATCTAAAGAAAATATAACTAGAAAAAATTCCACGCGGACCAGGCAGCAGACGGGACTCGAACCCGCACCCTTCGCAATCCGGGCGAATGCACTGACCAATTATGCTACCGCGGCCCTCACGGACCGCGTCGAAATTCTTTCTAGCTATTCTTAAGCTGCAAGGCAGCGCCATCTCTTCGCATTATAGGTAAACCCACAATGTCAAATGAATACTTTTACAAGTATTAAACATTTGAAAGAAGAAATAGCAATTATAGTTATATTTTTTATTATTTTTAAAGCATGTAACTGCTTGATGTTTAAATCTAAAGAAAAATTGTGGGTTTACCTATAATGCGAAGAGATGGCGCTGCCTTGCAGCTTAAGAATAGCTAGAAAGAATTTCGACGCGGTCCGTGAGGGCCGCGGTAGCATAATTGGTCAGTGCATTCGCCCGGATTGCGAAGGGTGCGGGTTCGAGTCCCGTCTGCTGCCTGGTCCGCGTGGAATTTTTTCTAGTTATATTTTCTTTAGATTTAAACATCAAGCAGTTACATGCTTTAAAAATAATAAAAATTATAAGATATATTGAATTAAAAAAAAAACTTCTTAGGACTAAATGTTCTTCACAAATCAATATGAAGCTAAATGGTATCCTTAATTACAAAATACATGATTCTAAGTTATGCAAAAATATAATATATATACGACTCGACTGTAGCTTTTCCAAATCAAAAAATAAGTTTGAGACAATACTCACTACATAAATTGTTGGTTCATAATATTAAAAAGGGTTATATATCAATAAGGAAACTATGAACAATAATTTTATAGTGGAGGCCAAACTATCTTCGAATACTTTTATTCCGAGACGGTTGAACATCAATATCATCATCCAAAATGCTACAGACTTAGTAGATAATTGCGTGGACGCTCAAAAATCAGGTCATCTGAGAATGAATAGGAGCTTTTGTAGAGTTCACATAACATCTGATGCAAAAAATAATATTGATCTGCCAGTTTCCATGATGGCCGTACCATTAAGAAGTGATGTTACGTGAACTCTCCAAATTCAAACGACTGACGATTTAGACGTGACCAAAAATCAGGGCCGATTGATAATTATTTTTGCTGGGATAAGTGTTAAACCCTATTAAAAGGCTCAGGTATGGTGATAGTACTTCACATGATGAGTATGTTGCTAGCGGCTTGCTGACCTGGGACAATGAAGATTTTAAAAGTTCAAAGTCCAAACAATTTCATTAACTTATTATATACTCTTCTTATCCCTCATTTACACCAAGAATCAAGTCAGTGACTAGTTTTATACAAAACTTGTAGAATACTTGTTGTGGTTGTATGAAATATTTTTACGTTTACATTGCATAGACAACTAGTATCTTGACAAGTATAAATCATTTATTTCACATATTTTGTTTATTCAACAAGTTTGATGCAAGTACTATATACTACATGTTTTGTACATGTACTAGTGGCCCGCCCTCGCTTTGCTTCGGTGTAGAGGTGTAGTGTACACTATAGTTTTTGTTCAAAGGCTTGTATTATACACAATTCCATTCCAAGTAAAAAATTCGTTGCATAGTTTAGGAACCGTTGTACCGAATGCAACATTGCTCTGCTGTTCCGATTTGAAAAAATATTTTTGTATTGGATAGTGCATTTATTGAGGAAGGCTATAGGCTATATATTACCAGGCTACGATCAGTAGCAGCGGTGAATCGAAGAAAAATATTGCAAAAACGGGTAAATATATTCCATTCGTGAGATTCAGTTGCGCGCGCTGGGTAAACGGTTAAAAGTACACAAAAATCATGTATCACGGAATTCTTCCCCTTTAAAAGATCTGTAAAAAAGTCCACGACAGCCTATGTCCACATTTAAATTTTGACTCACTATAAACTTTTTTCTTCAAATTAACGCGGGTGAAACCGCAGGGGACCTCTAGTTGTGACATAACTGTAATAGTTGATATATCATGGCCTTTTCTTAGATATTGGTATCCTCTATAAAACTTTAATACATCACTTTGCTCTATTGTCAATGACTTCTGCAGCGTACGCGATATAAGGCTATTTTTTAGTATTTTTTCACACGTTGGGTAACATTATCGAAGTTTTCATACGGAACCCTAACTTTTTTGAAAATACTCTATAGCCTATATTAATCATTGATAATGTAGCATTCAAATGGTGATTTTTTTTTTTAAATCGGTGCATTACTTTTTGAGCCAATTTGTTACAAACATACTTACATACAAATCTTTCCTCTTTATAATATTAGTATAGTGTTCATGAATAGCTCCATCTAGCGATCGGACGTAACAACGCACGAACAAGGGCGTGTTTCAACTGGCAACAATCTGTCACCGTTGGAAGTAGTTATCACCGGAACCATGGGATGGCGTTGTATATCAATATAAAACCCAAGAACACGAACGCGGAGCACTTCCTTTGGCAAAGGGGTCCAGCTTCGACTCTCTCAGACTACATATATATTTAAAATTAATGTAACGAAGTTGAAAATATACCTATGTTTATTTATTGAGAAGTTCGCTTTATTTCCTCAACAAATACAACAATACATGGAGAAGTAGCTTTATTTCCTCCCAAATACAAGAAAAATATACATATAGATATATGTGTCAACAAAAAATTAAAACATTGTATATTATTTTTAAATACATGTTTTACCTTGATGTAAAAGAGGGGTAAGACTTCCTCTTCTAGATAGTTTTCTTGACACATCTCAAATTCCAAAGAAACAACTTTCATTGACTACAACAATATGTATGCATGGCAGATCCGACATCGGACGCAGCCAAACTGTCTGCGACATGGTGCGTTGAATCCCTTGAATTGCTGTAACAAGTTCAGGATATAATAGGACTGACGTAACCTGTGTAAGATCCCTAAATAAATAAAAGAAAAAAAAAAACCTGTGTAGACTTATGAAAACAAGAAGGGGACAACTCCCTACTCTCTTGGTTACGCCATAATTATTATTTTATTTTTTTGTTGCAGCGGACGCTTTAAAATGTTATGTATGTAGAGGTTGCCAAACAGTATCAGCCAATGACTTGCAAACATGCTCTCCTCGTACTACGACGACAGCAACACCTACAGTAACTGAAACTCAAACTGTGGCCTCAACAACTACTGAGGCCTCAGCAACGACTACTGAGGCTTCAACAACAACTACTGCGGCACCAACAACGACTACTGAGGTCTCAACAACGACTACTGAGGCCTCAATAACAACTACTGCGGCACCAACAACGACTACTGAGGTCTCAACAACGACTACTGAGGCCTCAAATATAACTACTGAGGCCTCAACGATTACTACTGAGGCCTCAAATATAACTACTGAGGCCTCAACGATTACTACTGAGGCCTCAACAACGACTACTGAGACCTCAACGACGATTACTGAGGCTTCAACAACAACTAATGAGGCACAAACAACGACTACTGAGGCCTCAACAACAACTACTACGGCACCAACAACGACTACTGAGGCCTCAACAACAACTACTGCGACACCAACAACGACTACTGCGCCATTAACAACGACTACTGAAGCCTCAACAACGACTACTGAGGCCTCAACAACAACTACTGCGGCACCAACAACGACTACTGCGGCACCAACACCGACTACTGAGGCCTCAACAACAACTACTGAGGCCTCAACAACAACTACTGCGGCACCAACAACAAATACTGAGGCACCAACAACAGCTAATGCGGCACCAACAACGACTACTGAGGCCTCAACAACAACTACTGCGGCACCAACAACGACTACTGAGGCCTCAATAACATCTACTGCGGCACCAACAACGACAACTGAGGCCTCAACAACGACTACTGAGGCCTCAACAACAACTACAGCGGCACCAATAACGACTACTGAGGCCTCAACAACAACTACAGTGGCACCAACAACGACTACTGAGGCCTCAACGACAACTACTGCGACACCAACAACGACTACTGAGGCCTCAATGACAACTACTGCGGCACCAACAACGACTACTGAGGCCTCAACAACAACTGAGGCCTCAGCGACGACTACTGAGGCTTCAACAACAACTACTGCGGCACAAACAACGACTACTGAGGCCTCAACAACAACTACTGCGGCACCAACAACGACTACTGAGGCCTCAACAACAACTACTGCGGCACCAACTACGACTACTGAGGCCTCAACAACAACTACTGCGACACCAACAACGACTACTGAGGCACAAACAACGACTACTGAGGCCTCAACAACGACTACTGTGGCCTCAACAACAACTACTGCGGCACTAACAACGACTACTGAGGCCTTAACAACAATAACTGCGCCACCAACAACGACTACTGAGGCCTTAACAACGATTACTGCGGCACCAACTACGACTACTGAGGCCTCAACAATAACGACTACTGAGGTCTTAACAACAACTACTGCGCCACCAACAACGACTACTGAGGCCTCGACAACAACTACTGCGGCACCAACTACGACTACTGAGGCCTCAACAACAACTACTGCGGCACCAACAACGACTACTGAGGCACTAACAACGACTACTGAGGCCTCAACAACGACTACTGAGGCCTCAACAACAACTACTGCGGCACCAACTACTGAGGCCTCAACAGTGACTACTGAGGCACCAATTACAATTACTGCGGCACCAACAACGACTACTGAGGCCTCAACAACAACTACACCTGCACCAACAACGACTACTGAGGCACTAACAACGACTACTGAGGCTTCAACAACGACTACTGAGGCCTCAACAACAACTACTGCGGCACTAACAACGACTACTGAGGCCTCAACAACGACTACTGAGGCACCAATTACGACTACTGAGACACCAACAATACCATCCACTGATTATAAGAAGAGTTTTATTAATACAAACTACAATTTCATACCTGTGAGGGGGAAACGCGAAGTCAGGGATGAAAATGAGGATGAAGATGAAGAGAGTTCAGATAACTTAAGATGCGTCGTCGCGATCTTTGAAGGTACTTATGTTAATTTAATATAAACCTACTATTTATCTTTAAATCGAAAAACCACTTTCAACTTGGGTTGGTATAAATAAGGAGGGATCTTGAGACTCGCCGTACTTAGTTGATTACCTTGACGAGATTTATTTAATATTTTTTACAAATAATAAAGAAACATAAACTTTTTGACTTAATGATAAGCTCGTTTATCGAATAGGCATTACTATCGGCCAACCGATTTTGAAAATAAATCAACTTAAAATGTTTTATACAAGGTATTCAAGAAAAGACGGCAAGGGAAGCAAAATTATAATAATATGTATGAAATCACTGGAGCTGGATTTTAAAACTGATAAGCCTATTTGTTGCATGACTTTTTGATTTTGTCCATACTAAATAGTCGGCTCTCCTTATTTTCACCAACTCAATATCAAGTTGTACTTTTAAAAATATGCAGTAGTTATGAAGATTTGAATTAGATTTATATTGACATATTGCAAATTATAAATTTTTAATTTGACTGATGGTCAAAGGATGATCAAATCTAAAGAAAATTTAAGTAGAAAAAACTTTCAAACGGAATTCACAGCCGCATCTTGCTCTATCCGGGCGCTGCCGCTGACTTGCAAATGTCAACAACATATTAATTATTTCAAAAAAAAAAAAGAAAAAAAGAAAAAGCGGCTGAAAAAGCTAAGGCAGGCCAATACAGGGGTCTAGGCTCCGAATATGATTTTGTCCCATTCGGTGTCGAGACCCTTGGTCCGTGGGGTCCTAGCGCTATAAGGCTTTTTAAAGAAATAGCGAAAAGATTAGTCGACATCACAGGAGACCGAAGAGCTGGCAGCTACCTCGGACAAAGAATTAGTATAGCTAACCAAAGGGGAAACGCTGCCAGTATCTTCGGAACCTTGCCTAAAGGGACTCCTTTTAATAATGTATTTTAGTTATTATATTTTATTTTTTAAGGTTTTTAGTTTTAGGTTCATTGTTATAGTATATTTTTTGTTTTAATTATTCTTAAATTTATTCATATTGCACCATATTTCAAAAATATTAAGAACATTTTCTTTGGGCAGTATCTACAACATTTGTCTTTTATTGCAGTTAATGGTATACCAGGTGTTGTTCGCGGATGTTCCGAAGCATCTGAAGACGAAGAAATCCGCTGCAGCGAAGCAATAGGTGACAACTTTGATGGTCGCCTGATAAGCTGTAAGCTTTGTCAAGAAGATGGTTGCAATACTGCGACAAGGGCCACGCTTGCTTTTGTTCTTCTCGTTTTCACTATTGTGTTCAATTTTGTTTAACCGAAAACTATGAAAAACAAAATTCATGTTTACTCAGTCGTTTTGTGCTCCTAACAATCTGTATCTTTTAAAAAAGCATAAATGCGAACAGATCTTATAAAAATACTAGCTGTCCCAGCGAACTTCGTACCGTCATAAAAGAATAGGGGTTTGTGGTAGAAGGATGAAAATTTAGAGTTGTATGTATTTTTGTATCATAAAAAAATTAAAAAAAAACTAAAATTGAAAAAAAATTTAGGGGTGGATTACCCTTTACATTTAGGGGGATGAAAAATAAATGTTATCCGATTCTCAGACCTACCCAATATGCACACAAAATTTCATGAGAATCGGAAAAGCCGTTTCGGAGGAGTTTAACCACAAACACCGCGACATGAGAATTTTATATATAAAAATATATAGTTGTTGCCAAATATATCACAAACTCTGATATAAGTTTCTTGTATATTGATTAGCTGATCGATCATGGAAGTTATAAGAGAGACCTTTGATTTCTGCCCAATTGTGGACCTAGGGTATAAATTACATCAAAAAAATCTAAAACTGTACTTAAAAAGATGCTCTTCAAAAAATTAATAAATTAATAGAAATTGGCGAAAAGCTGCTTAAAATATAAAAAAATAAGAATCTCCGTATAAAGACACGTTCACTTCAATTAACTTTTGGTGACGTTATTACCTAGACGCAGTATGACATTGACTGACAGATGACAGCTAAAACTATTGGTTTCTATTCATTTCCTTGATTGTGATTGGTTATATAAAAAATCACATGACTGTTTTCGTCTTGTCCAAAGACTATATGTCTCGTCACATTGTAACTATGAATATGGTAGTGACATTTAATTGTCTTGATACACAGTCTTTTAGCCAACCCTTTCAGTTATTTTATTAGTATTTTGATGGGATCGCTATGTAATATTTTGTTAAATTCAAGCTTTTGCCGATCTGGTTTATTTTTTATAATTTCTGTAGCTTGTTTCAATTCATTTAAAGATGCACATTACCATTAGAATATATATATATATATTAGAACATATTTTGAATAGAATAGAATATATTTTTTACTAACCCTCATTTAGTTTTACCTTCACCCTCAAAGTAGTTTGCTGGATCAGTTAGTTTAAAAATATAAACGAAATTTTTATGTGGTATAAGTAAATAATAAAAAGAAAATAATAAGTTAATTCCATATTTTGCACTTTTAATGGATTCGGCGTATTTTGCTACAAATAAGTGCATGATAATACCTGAGGTACACGATTGGGCAGAGTTGTATGGAGAAAAGAATGTATCCTAAGAATAGTTATTAGGTAGTTGCAATTCTGTAACTCATGCTTTTTGTTTTTTTTTTTGATTGAACTACGAAATATTCTGTATATAACTGTAGAAACGATTTTATATCAAAATGTTATTTCATAATTTATATCTAAGTTATTTTTACTTTTAAGTGTCAATTTAAAAGAAATAGAACAATTCTATTCGATTCTTTCAAGTGATATATTTGTAACGTTTATTATACTTAAGAAATGAAGTACTTATGTAAGTATTGCATTTGTAAACACTGTTTTGCAGTGGAACAAATACCTAGGTATAATATTTATGATATTTTTCAATAACTGATTGCAATGTGCAAACAATACTATCAGTATATAAAGACAAACAGATTATTATTTTCAAGAGCAACATAACAATATGGAGCTACTTTAAAATTATTGAAAATAGTGTATCAAGATGCAAGAAAATTAAATTAATAGCTTTAAAAAAACTACTGCTTAAAAAGGAACAATAAATAAAACTGAAAAGTAAATAAAAAAGCCCAGTAGTCTAGAATTTAACATTTGAAATCCATTACATATTCTAGATTGGAGTAAATTTTCTCAATAATGGGTTCCGACTGTTTAATTCTAGACTACTGGGCTTGTTTATTTTCTTCTCAGTTTTATTAAAAAAATCTTTTTATACAGTCAGGTTTTTTGACTTTATATTTTTTTCGACATTTTATTTTCAAAATTATGTTTGTTTAATATAGATAATTTGTATATTTATTTATACTCGTGATATTAATTTATACTTTCTGAATAGTCTTTAAAAGCAATTTTTAAAGTTGATTCATTTTGGCACTAAAAATCTGCAATGTTTTCCAACATTAAAAAAAACAAATTTGGAATAACTAGTGTCTTTCACACAATTACGACGAATCGAATGACACCTCGCATGCCAAAATCCGTCAAATCGTTCAGGCCGTAGGTCATGCGAAAGAAATGGGATATGCATTATAATTATTAATAATGTTTGGGTAACATACATACATGTATGCGCTCGAAAAACATTATACTCCTTTCATCGGAAATCGAGTAAAAATATTTGGGTGCCTTTTGAATTAAACATCAAATTTCATTAATATCAAATAAATATAATTATACAATTATATTTTTTTTGATTTTCCAATTACGTCACTGCTTCGATCTGGACCCAATTCGATAATCCCTATCCAACCACGTTAAGAGTTCATTGTATTCTAAATACAAAGAAAATTTTATAAAAAGTAAACCACGCGGACCAGGCAGCCGACGGGACTCGAACCTGCACCCTTCGCTATCAGGGCCCTGATGGCCGTGTCGAATTTTCTCTTGCCTTTCTTAGGCTGCAAGGCTGCCATTTCTTTGCATTGTAGGTAACCCACAATGTCATTGTACTTGTCATACTTAGGAAATCCCTTATATATTTTGTGTAATTTAAAAAAGGTTGAATCGAACTTTGTTTGCTAATCAGTTACTATGCATTTACATTAAACAGTATTACTCATTATAATATAATATTTTTCTATTAAAATACCTAATGAAAAATAATCCACTATGTGGAAAAAATGTGTTACTACAAATGTGCCTGTATAGATAGTATAGGTTCACTTGTAAAATTTTGTCATTATCGTTTGTTTTAGTTAAGCTTTAAGGATAATTAATTAAAAACTGTTTTTAGCAAAAAAAAAAGTACCTAAGCCATTGTTGTGTTTTGTATTAAAAGCATATTTCTATAGTTTTCTCAGACAATTGTATATTTACACATATTTACATTTAAATAACAAAAACTTACATTCCTACTAACTAAAATTTACATTCCAAATAACCTTAAAATCAGTTTTCAGCTTAGCTCAGCAGGAACATAATTATTATGTTACCTACTCATACAAGGGGAATGGATTTAATCGAAACGCAAAAATGCTACAGTGGGAAGCTCGCTCATATTTTTCCTATGGTTCCAAAATCAAATAAGATATTTAAAAACCCTTGAGAGTTTTTTAAATGTTAAGATTGAAATCTGTTAACAAAACTCTTTAATAAAAATCGATACATGACACTTTTCATTTGGTCTCTGTTTTTTCTACGATAAAGAAGAAAAGCAACAGTTATGTCTATAAAAAAACTCAGATACCCGAACATAAATAGCTCCTAGCATAACAGTACCCCTAGCATGAACCAATATCGAATTCATATCGTTTGCGAGTCCGAAATGTCACTGTCAAATGTGTACTGATTTTTAGTTCTCGTTACGTACTTTGTGGCGCTGCTGTTTAAGTTTCTATACAAAATTAGACATTGACATTTGGGTTTGCAAACTATTCGAAATCGATGGTTCGTGCTAGGGGTACAGCTTTGTCTTAAATTTCTAGGTCAACATGATGGAGGATTGCATCACTAAAATCTCTGTACATATGTAAAAATAGGCTATGGCTTCCTATTTTTCCACTTAACTCCACTTAAATTGGAACACACGTCTCAGGTGCCTTATTCTGGTGAATAAGAATAGGTGAAGGTGGAAGAAGCAAGCAGCGTGCTCGTTCCATTTTCGTTTTTGGACCGATTCTTTACCGAGTGCATGTAATTAAGAAGCCGTTTCGGTACAGATTCTTTATGAAGCGAATACACACCTCTCTGTGCCGGTTACTGCCGAACCATTGGACCCGCCCGTCCCATCACTCCCGCAAACAAAATCGTAGCAATCAAAACGAAACGATACCGCACCGAAATCGAGTCGGAGTAGTAAATCAAATTCCTTATTATACTTCTAACTCGTGATAATTTATTAGGCTCAGACATCGCGTTATCATTAATAAATCTTAATCTATAGTAAATCTATAAAAATATTAATTCTGAAATTCTGCGTATTATTTAACCATCGCCAATCTTTTAAGTATCTTTAAAGTACGTTACGTACCTACCATCAAAAAATATAACTTTATAAAGCCAAAATATTCGTTGATAATGTGCAATCTAATCAGTTATTCGAAGTACGTACTTTACCAACTTTTGTTATTAAACCAGAATATCAGTAGACTGTGCTCAAATGAAACCACAACGATGACAAACAACGGTCCAGTGGGTGTATATGAAAACTCTTTGAAGCATAGGTACACGCGATATGATTTTACGATAGCTAATGGGTGGTATGAAAAGGTAAATTTAAATAATGAAAAATCCCGACTGCTAAAAAAGAAAGTAATTTTAATAAAAACTGAAAAGAAAGAAGCAAGTCTAGTGCATATTCTATGATTCTGTTAAATAAGGAACAAAGCTACTTTAATAGTCGGGACCCATTAAGTATTGGAAAAGTTTGATCCATTCTAGAATATCTAATGGGTCCCGACTGTTATAGTACCTTATTACAAGTTCTTTATTTTTAAGCTGTCAGGTTTTTGATTTTTTAAATGTAACTTTTAATTTCAGGCTTTTTAGTTAGTATTAAAAGACGGTAAATACAATATTTCATTATAATATTTAATTGAGGAAGTTAATATCGCGGGGCTTATCAATTAGCTAGCGGTGGTCTAAACGACAGATTAATTACCCCCTAGTGGATGCCCTTGACTTCGTCTTCGTGGGAAAATTGTGTTTCCATAAAAACTCTCCCCCCCCCCCCCCAATCACCCCCTTCAAGGTGGTTTCTAGAATAAATTCTATCTTTTGTCCTTTCCCGGGACTCAAACTATCTATATAACAAATCTTAAGCGTGAAGAGTTAACAGACAGACAGATTCACTTTCATTTTCACTATAATATTAGTACCTATGGAAGTATGAATATGGAGATATAGACCTAACCCCTAGGGTCAAGGCTACGTATGGGTCGCAACTTTCGCAAAAATGTGTGAAGTTAAATCGCCTACCAGCTACAACAAAGTACTTATTTATTACTTATGTAGGTACAGTCAGAGCCCCAGCACAATATCAATGGCAACATTTGATTATATTTCACCCTGTCTTCAAATTGCATCGGATTTCTGTGTTTGAAGGTTTGACTCCTACGCTAAGAACAATATTTTTAATAGCCTTCTCAACAAATTAACTATAAAAACCATATGGTTCCATCTGGTCCCTCCAAAAAGCAGACCACTGAATTGTCTTATAAATCCGTTGATGAGAAATTGTTTTTTTGCAACATAACTCGAGACCATTACCAGATTGTCTATTATAGAACGATCCCTCCAGTTTAGTGAAGGTCAACAAAAATAAATCATTTGTATGTCCAAATTCGTTGCTTCCGCCTATTTTGTTGCATGCATTGGAATGCACCTATCTATAAGAAAAAATGATGTGGTGTCGTGGGACACCAGGTAGGAACGAAGTTCCTTCGGTTAATGCGTATTTAACGGTTTTATTCCACGCACTTTTTTCCACGGATTTTTTCTTACGGTTTTATACTGGCCCACAGTTTATAATAAACTACAATGTTACAATAATCCAGTAATGCAGCCCCGTCGCTCTGCCACCCCCCTGGACTTAACCACAGTTTAGTATAATATACGACAATAAACCAGTGTTGGTATAATGCCACAATAATTTGGGGTTGCACCCCCGTCGCTCTGTCACCCCCTGTTAAGTTCTGACCTTGTTATCATGTCTAGCTTAAGTTTAAAGCAGATGACAGGCGTTCCTGGTCCACAGCTCGGTATAACGTCACAAATATCCAGATTTCGTGTAATGTCACAATATTCCAGTGCTGCACCCTCGTAGCTGTGCCACCCCCTATAACTTCACACATATTCAGTGTTGGTGTAATTTAACAATATTTCAGTGATGCACCCTCGTCGCTCTACCACCCCCTATAACTTCACACATATTCACTGTTGGTGTAGTATCACAATATTTCAGTGATGCACCCTCGTCGCTCTACCACTCCCTTTAACTTCACACATATTACGGGAGTATAATACGCCGCACAACTTACAATAGCTTACTATAGCAAAAAGTGTCGTGACAACTTTTCGTAAGAATTTTTTCCGTCTAGCCCCCTTTCACAACGCGCGATAAGGAACTTCGTTCCAAAAAAAATGATAACGTATTTCAGGATGACGCATCTTCGGGAGCTTGTCTTATGGAGGACCATTTTTTATTTGTGATACAGCATATCAATTTTATTAATTTTGATATACCGAGGATATTACTCCCACAACTAAGAAGAATCTAACAACATTTCTAACTCTATCAAGCTGTTTGGGCTACTGAACTTACCAAAGAAATGTAGCCTATCTTATCTACGTTTATACCAAAATTCATAAAAAATATTCTCTCACCACTCCAGCAGTCTTCTCCTGCATAGTACATCGCGCAATCACTTGCCATTGTCGTAACTTTTCAAATATTTGTCCAAATGACATAGTGTAAAAGGCAAAGTTAATCGCATTTAAACATCAAAAGAGATAAAGGAATTTGAATTGATAACCTTTTTTTTTTCATACAAAATGTGCATTTTGTGACTAAATATCAAATATTATTTGAATTACTCATTTAGCGTTAGTGGCTTACACATAATATATAGACATATCGATGTGTCCTAAGGGCCAAAGTCGCATTTTTTATATTTTGGCTTTTTGGTAGTAAATGCTCGTATTAAGTGTAATAAATGATAATAATTGAAAAAAAAACACGCCAAATTTATTGTAAAAAACACGGTGTTTTGATGCAGTAAATGGGCTTATGTGTCATACTTTCAAATGTAAGCGCCTAAGCGGTAGTTTAAGTCTACGCGGGGAGTTCCCGAAATTTTGTTGGGATTGTCGGCCAATCGGTCAGTTAGTGATACTAGTGTAACTATAAGAGATTAAAAGTGAATAATTGGTCAGTCTTTGATGATGGAAATTTGGTTAGCATTTGCTGTCTTTAGATCAAACAAATAGATTTGAATTCTTTCAACATTGCTTGCTATTTACGATATAATAACACAGAACAATGCTATGATGACTTTAGTTTAAATTTTGGTCTAACAATTTTATTGGCCACAATAGAAACAGGATGTTTTTATGTACTTAGACAGCAAAACAGCTTAATATTAGATAACCCTTTATTATGAGAGGAAATTCCCAAAATGAGGCTGATTCCTCACATGCTACATTTGAAAGTGCAACAAAACGTAAGCATATCTAAATACCATCTAAATGGAGCTGGAGCTCATTATTACGAAGGTCTTATTTATGACTTCAAAAAATCGCAAGCAAGGTTTTCCTACAACTGGACTAAAAAACTTGATAGGAAAAAAGTATCTTGGTCTAAAATCAAACATTCTTGTCCGTAAAGATGAATAATACATTTTATTTTACAAACTAGTCCGGTCTAAAAATCCAATTGAAAACAATAACATTTATCCATGTCATGGTTGTTTAATATGTATAGAAATAGAAAATAAAAATATACTTATTACAGTTTAAGTATTCTATCCGTTATCCTAGTATCCCATAACACAAGCCTTACAGTGCTTACTTTGGGGCTAGGCTAATTGGTGTGACTGTTGGAAATATTTATTTATTATAATATTTATTTATCCACATAATTTGCCCTACAACTGGCTAATACTATTACAACTAAACAACAAAAAGACTTCATTGACATCATCATCATCATCATCATCGACCCATGCTCGTCCACTGCTGGACATAGGTCTCCCCTAATGCACGCCACTGCTCCCTCTCGATTTTCTGCCTCTCTCATCCAGCTCACGCCAGCCAGCCTACGAATGTCATCATCCCATCTTGTCTCAGGGCGTCCCACATTACGTTTACCGAGTTGCGGTCTCTACTCAAGAACTTTACCAGTCCATCGGCAGTCAGTTCTGCGGCTAATGTGAACAGCCCACTGCCACTTCAGTTTGCTAATTCGGTGGGCTATGGCGGTCCTTCAGGGATACTCCGAGCATAGCCCTTTCCATAGCCCTCTGAGCGACTTTAATCTGGTGGACCAGTCCAGCCGTGAGTGTCCACGTCTCGGCGCCGTATGTCATAACTGGGAGAACGCACTGGTCGAAGACTTTCGACTTGAGACATTGAGGGATGGGTGACGAGAAGACTTGACGAAGCTTACGAAATGCTGCCCAGCCCAACTGAATTCTTCTATTGGCTTCTCTCTTAAAGTTGTTTTTGCCTAATCGGAGCGTTTGTCCTAGATAGACATATTCCTGAACAACTTCGAGAGGTACTCCATTAACAGCAACCAGTCCCGGATCAACGAGCTCGTTGAACATGACCTTGGTTTTATCCAAGTTCATCCAGAGACCGATGTGTTTGGAACATTCAGCCAGGCTACTCACCATCTCCTGTAGGTCTTGCAGGGTTTCAGCCAGGATGACGATATCGTCCGCGAATCGAAGGTGTGAGATGTAGTCGCCATTAATATTTATTCCGCGTCTTTTCCAGTTGAGCGTTCCGAACACGTCCTGCAGCGCAGCGGAGAAGAGTTTCGGGGATATTACATCTCCTTGTCTCACACCACGGCGCAGCAGGACAGGCTCGGTCTGGCCATTCTGGAGCACAACGGATATATTAGCGGCGTTATACAGACATCTCAGCACCTCGATATATCGCCAATAAACTTGGCACCTCTGCAACGCCTCAAGAACAGACCAGGTCTCGACGGAGTCAAAAGCTTTCTCATAGTCCACAAACGCCATGCCCAGGTGCTGGTTATACTCTTTGGTCTTCTGTATAAGCTGTCTCACTGTGTGAATGTGGTCTATGGTGCCATAACCCCGTCGGAACCCGGCCTGCTCTGCAGGTTGAGCGTCGTCAAGTCTTCGTGCAAGGCGATTCGAGATGACTCTCGAGAACAACTTATAGATATGGCTCAGGAGGGAAATTGGTCGATAGTTCTTCAGTAAGGTTCTGTCGCCTT